CTGTCCATTACGTGGTTGTAAGGAACTGAAGCACCCAGCAGGCTTAGGTGATGGTCTATAATTTCACACTTGCTAGTAATGAAATTGAGATTCACAGCCAGAGAGTCAGCCTCCACAGGTAACAATAACCCTGTAAAAACAAACAAATAAACAAACAGAAACAGGGAAAAAATCTCCATAAACAGATGTAAGATAAACAACAACCAATAGACTACAGATGAAATCAAAGAAGAAATCAACAATATCTACAATCAAATAAAAATGCAGACATAGCATACTAGAATCTGTGGAAAACAATGAAAGCAGTCCTAAGAGAGAAATTTATAGCAGTGAATTCACATATCAGGAAAACAGAATGAGCACAAGTACACAACTTAATGTTGCATCTCAAGTTTCTAGAAAAAGAAGAGCAAGTGAAAATCAAAGCCCATGCAAGGAAGGAAATTATAAAGATCAGAGCAGAAGGTTTTGTAGCCTGGCTGGGCTACGCGCAGCGACCTTCTTTCAACCTGAGGAACTGGGAGTGCCTGAGGTGAGTCCAACACACCAGTGCCAGCCTGGGGAAAGTTTAAGATCATCGCTCCCATTTGTCAAGGACCTGCCCAGCTTCCAGCCATACTACACTGGGCTCTGTAGCTTTCTGGCCTGGGTGGGCCACACCCAGTGACCTTCTTTCAACCTGGGAAACTAGGGCTGCCTGAGGTGAGTCCAGCACACCAGCTTGGGCCTCAGGAGAGTTTAGGATCATCACTCCCAGTGGTCAAGGACCCGCTCAGCTTCCAGCCACACTAGACTAGGCTTGGGAGGTTTCCTGGTTCAACTAGAACATGCCCAGTGACTTTCTTTATTAAAAGAATTCAAATTAGTAATAATCTCCCAGGTAAAAGAAGAAATGATAAAAATAATGAAAGAAATGCTGAACACATCTAAGAAGACACAGATAAAAACTTAGAGAAACAATGCAAAAAGATAGAAACCCTGAATGAAATATGAGAAACAATCAGAATTCATGAAGCAGATTCAAAGAGATATAAAGAAAATGAAAAATTCCACTGAAAGTTGTTAAAAATACCTCAATGAAAGTGAAGAGAATTTCAGACCCCAAAGACAAGATTGCAGCTAGTGAACAGGACAGAAAAGATCTTATAAAAATAACAAGGATTCAGGCAATAACAATTCAACAGCTGCAAGATGATGCAAAGAAAAACAACATAAGATTGATAAGGATAAATTAAAAAGAAGGAAACAACACAAATGATATCAAGAGGCTATTTATAGAATAGCTGAAAATTTCCCAAACATGAGAATGAAAACTGACATATAGATTGGTGAAGCATATAGAACTCCAAACACCAAAAGCAAAATAAAACTACACCCAGACATGTAATAATAACCATCCCAGAAACCCAACATAAGAATAGAATATTGAAAGCTGTTAGAGACAAAAGACAGATCACCTATAAAGGAAAACCTATCAGAATCATAGCAGATTACTCAGCATAAACAATGAAGTCAAGAAGAGCATGGAATGAAATATCCTAAAGGAAAATGATTTTCAACCTAGACTGACATACCCTGCAAAACTGTCCTTCAAAATTGATGGAGAAATAAGATACTTCCATGATGAAGAACAGCTGAAGAACTTCATGATCATCAAACCAACCATGCAAAGAATACTGAAAGACAGTTTAGAAACACATGGGAAAAAACCACTAAGCAAGGCAGACAATTAAACAGAACAGAAAGATAAAGCTGCAGCAGCAGAAAGATAACATGTCAACAATAAACCAACATATAAGTTATAACGATTAATGTAAATGGTCTCAATGCACCAATTAAAAGAAACAGACTCGCAGAATGGATCAAAAAACAACATCCAACCATATGCTGTCTACAAGAAATCAATCTAACCCAAAAGGAAACTCATACATTGAAAGTCAAAGGATGGAAAACAGTACTTCATGCAACAGGAACTCAAGAAAAAGCAGGGGTAGCTATTCTGTTTGCAGACAATATGAACTTCAAACCAAGAATGGTCAGAAGAAGAGTTAAGGGAAAACTTCAAGAGGAAGAGATAACAATGTTAAATATACATGGACCCAATTCCAGAACACCTAGTTATATTAAGCAAGTATTAACAGAAAAAATCAAATAAGTAATAACACAATTATAACTGGAGACTTAACATACCATTGACACCAAGGGACAGATCAACCAGACAGAAAATCAGCAAAGAAATAACCGAACTGAATCACACCTGTGAACAAATGGACTTGACAGAGATATACAGAGTGTTCCATTCAACAACATCAGAATACATTTTCTTTTCAGCAGTACATGGGACAGTCTCTAAAACAGACCATATACTAGCCCACAAAACATATTTAAATAAATGCAAAAGAGTTGAAATTATTCCATGCATGTTATTGGATCATCTATAAAGAAGGATCACATTGAGATATTTATAAATAAATGGATGCAGCTTGAGATCATACTCATAAGTGAAATAAGTCAAATTCACACATATAAATACCCAATAGTTTCCCTAGTGTAAGAAATGATAAGAATACATAAAAGTATGTAGTAATCACGATTCCCCATTGTATTAGTTTGAAGCCTTATAATGTTTTCACTCATTATTTGGAATGATTTTATTTTGGGTTGTTAGATTTTATTGTTTGTGATAGTATGAACAGTTATTTTGAAGAAAACAAGACAATATAATAGCTAGTGCTGATTTAATATCATCTTGTTTTGAAGTCCCATCAAGCTGTTGTTCTTCTCCATTAGTTTTATCATGTTGTATCTTATTGGATTTTATTATATGTGATAGTATAAACAAAATTTTTTATTAGCAAAGAGATCATATAGAAACTATTGTTCATTTTCTGTTAGCTGATTCTAAATACCCTGTAATACTTTCATTCTCTTGAGTGGTTTTATAGTGTCTTGATATGCTTGATGGTATAGTAAATGAAGTTATACTCAAATATTTCAAGGAAAGAGACACTATGGTAACTACTATTTTGTCAGGTTATCTGGTGGTGAAACACTATGTTGCTTAAATTGTTTTGTTCAGACCTGAATCGTTATGTTGTTATGTCCTCTTTTATCTCAATCTCCCCTTTTTTCCTTTTTTAAAAAAAATTAATTTATTTTTTAAGGGAAAAATAAATTAAAAAATAGTGGGATATATTATAGTGGGATATATTATAACTTTTTTGTTTTCCTATTAACTTGATTTGAATCCCTGTATTGCTCTCACCATCTTGTTTTGACTGATTTTACTCTATTTTGTTTTGTTTGATAGTATCAAGTTTGAGGTATAGGCAACTACTTTGAAGGCAATAAGATTCACTATGATGCCCATTCTGGTTTGACTATTGTCTTCCTTTGAAATTCTGTAAGGTATCCAATATTTAGGTTTTACTGGTTTTGTTCTGTACTGTTTTGTTCAATTCTATTATACCTGATGATATAGGCAACTCTTATAAAGATAGCAAGAGGCATTATGGTAATCACTGTTGATAGCCTTGTACTTTGTTTTTACATCATGTACTATGTCTATCCTTGGTTTTGACTGACAGCTTTGTTTTGCCATATTTGACTTTATTCTCTTCCAAAAAAAACCAGTAATAAGAACCAAGGAGTAATAAAACCCAAAAGGTATAATTGTTATTGTAAAAAAGAGAGGAAAAGAAAGTTCTCTAAAGGATATAACTGCATGTATATTTAAATGTGTAAGAAAACCATATAACTAAGTTTTTGTTGGATCATTGAACACAACTGTTTGCAGTCTCACTGTTTGAATGTCCACTTTGTATGCTTTAATTTTGTAACTTGAACAATTGAATGTCCACTTTGTATGCTTTAATTTTGTAACTTAAACAACTATTTCTAAGATGACAATACGTAATCTGTTAACTAGTGATTTCTTACGGTTTATTTTTTTGAAATTCTGTATTACTTGTACCCTTTTACTGTTTTGTTTTTCTCTCTTTAAATAAAAAATTATGAAAAAAAAGTTTCCTGGATGTTTTATTCAGAATTGCCCTATATAGGAACAAGACATGAGGGCAGCAATACAAGAAAGCAAAAGGCAACACATCCACAGAGTAAAACGGCCTATGGAAATGAAAAAAAAAACAATGATGCATTCAACAAAATGCACAAATCTCCAAAAGAAAGAAAATGACCCAAACATAAAGAATGTACACAGTATGATTCGGTCATGCATATATTTTAAGAATGTTGGGGGGACGGTAATCTGATAAGAATTTGTACTGGAGATTACTGGATTTTTTGAGTGGGGATTGACAAGGAGAGTATGAAAGGATGCTTTCTCTTGAAAATGGAAAATACAAACATGATCATGCTCAGGTAGAATGGCTTTCCCCTTTACTCTTCTTATTTTAATAAATATTTATAATAAAGTTAGTTTTTGTGCCTTTTTATTAGCAGTGTTTGCAGTACATGATGATTACCTTCTGCATGTGCAGTTCTCACATGGACATCTCTGTTCTTTTTTCATCCTCTTCTTCTTTGTCCCGTCCTCCTTGCTCCATCATTGCTCCCCTTCCCTTTTGCAAAAATTTGTGTAGCAATCTAGGCAGGAAGAGACTGAGAGGTGACATATGCCTGAACCAGAATTCCCAGAAGCTGGAATGACATGTTCTTGATGAAGGATCTGAGGGACTTGCTCCTCAGTTAATCAGTGTGTCCCCAAGGGAAGAGAGTTGGGGTATTTGATTAAATATGGCATTAATTCCCTGGTGCTTCCAGCATGCAGGATGAGCCATGGCAACCAGGGCAAGTCCCCAGGAAGATGGGTGCAGCTGCATGGACACTGAGTAGGTGGAAGGACACTTTCAGGGGTGGAGAGAACACCACAGGACATGGTAGCAGCTACACATGGTAGTGCAAATTCTCTAATCTCACCAAGAGTGGATGTTTTAGTTACTTTTCTTTTGTTGCTGGAACAAAATACTCAACAATCAAAGTTAAAGTAGAAAAGGTTTATTTAGCTGGCAGTTTGTGGAGGTTTCAGTCCATAAACAGCTGGTTCCAAGGCAGGCAGGCATGGGTCAAGGCAGCAAATGCAAGAACAAAAAGGGATGAGGCAGCCTCTTTCCGCGCCTTATATTGTGTGCAGGCTGTGTGTCCTAGGGAGGGTGTAGCAATCACAGTATCTCCTTGCCCTCAGGTTGCCCAGGCTCAGAATGTTTACAAAGTGAAGACGCTGTACCCCTGTTGAATCAATCAGGTAAGCTTTTTTTTCCTCAAGATTTATATTTATTTATTTACTTAGCACCCAATTATTGAGTGCCTATTATGAGGCAGTAGAAATTTTAGGAAAATTAGAGATGAAAACAATTAGACCAGTGGAGAAAACAGAGATTAAGTTTATAATCATGTCCCTCAAGCTGGGCTCAGCTGTACATGGAAAATGCACAAACACCATACTATGACTGGTACCATGTGGTGCTACATGAGTTCGGAGGACTAGAGGCAGGAGCAAGAAGACGAGATGCCTGTGGAGCATCTAAACTGAAATTTCAAGGGCAGAGAAGTTTTCTATGCAAAGAAAGAGGAAATGGAAGTCTGAAGAAGAAGAAAGAGGACGGGTAAACAGTGCCCTACAGCATGTCCTTTAAACACTAGGATGTAGAACTAGCAAGTTACTTAGTTAAGCTTCTAAACTTCTCATATTGACACAGTGTAGCAACCATGAGGAAGGTGGATCTGTTTAGTGGAACACATCCAGCTCCATGCCCACTGTGAGAGGCTGCCAGTCAAGTGTACTGCACACCTGTAATCCTAGCACTGGAGTGGCTGAGGGAAGAGGATCACTAGGAGTTAAAGGCCAATCTGGAGCACAAGCCAATTCCAGGTCAGCCTGAACTACATACTGAGAATCTGTCTCAAGAAAGAGAGAGAGAGAGACAGACACAGAGACAGAGAGAGAGAGAGACATAGAGAGACAGAGAGACAGAGACAGAGAGACAGATAAACTGCAAAACAGAGCTGGAATTACAACCATTCTTTGAGGCCAGGAGAAATACTGCAGTGACCCCTTCCCATAGAGGACGCGGAATGTGGCCAACAAACGCCTCAGAGCTATGGCTAAGATCTCAATGCTCAAAGACGGAGAGAAGAAGCTCACACACCAAGTGAGCCAAGTGCTGTCACCTGGCAGGTACATCCAGGCTGCAGGACTATGGACTGAGGCTGGAGTTCACTTGTGGGGGCAGGAGATTTCAGGCTTCTTGCAGATCCAGAATTTGTGTAATTCACATTTGTTGTCATTCCAGCCATCGCCTTTTAATTCTGCACAGTCTTCCTCCTCGATATTGTTGGGCTCCCCTTCTAGCCAGTACATGCTGAACCTGCAAAGCCCATGCTAACATGATCCTCCACCCTGCCCTCAGCCCCCGTGTGATCTGTGTTTCAAGTTCCCAGAAACCTGATGTTCTTGATTGTGCCCTGCGTGCACATGGCAGGTGTGGGTTGTTTTGGACACCTAATAACATGACTCAGTCTCTTGGGCTTGGCCCCTGATCCTTGGTGTTGTTGAAAGGATCCACCTGCTGAGGATGTGGCTTCATACACAAACCAACAAATGAATGCTGCAAACCCCCGATCTCCACCCTCTTTGGGCTTTGGCACTGTGGGCCAATGTACACTGAGCCACTAGAGACACCATCTACACCCAGAACTCACTGAAATGATTCAAACAACCGATCTAACCCAGCCTAAAGATTCCTTCTGAAAGGCACAATAAAGCCTCCTGCCTGGGGCTCCCCCTCTCTCCACATCCCACCCCATCCTGTTTGCCCCATGTGGACTCTGCAGTAGAGGAAGTACTACATATCTTGTGATCTGTGAGCATAACAAGCTATCTAATCAATAGTGATATTTGCCTGAACTGTTGGCCTTATTATTCTTCAGATTTTCTGGTTGTTTTCCATATTTTAATGAAGTCATACAAACTTCTGGTCCTCCCGTAGCTCTGATGGAATGTTCCACAGCTAACAGCCTACCTGCATGTGGCTGTGAAGACCACCTTCCTCAAGCAGTAACTATAGACTCTTAGATCTAAGGGTCTAGGGGGAAGGAGGGGAACCCCAAGTTAGGTCCAGCAGGGACTCAGATTTCCACTGCACTAGACAGAGTGTTCTCTCTGAACTTACTTGTACAGCAGAGGAGAATCATCCATCCAACTCCATGCTCCTTCCTCCTTCCGGTCCGAGAGTCCTATCCAGGTTAAGCCATTCTTCTTAGAAGTCTCCAGAAGGAAGCGCTGGGGGGAGACAGGTGCTGTCAGATGGAACTGTGCCCTCCCCATTTTGTAGTTTTTCATGTTCTGATCTCATTGCATGCACTTTTGCTTACGGTCTTGTCTGCAGCCTTCTAACAGAGTCAGCCAGGTGCCCCCATGTGTGCTCAGCAGGGAGGAGTCCCTCCCACATCCATGTGGTATGCACAGTTGTGCTCTGATTCTCACACGGGATGTGTGCAGCTGGCCTCTCCTCACGCACGCTTGGCCCTACGGTCTTGAGTGCTGAATGGGTTCACGTAAATTCACTCAAGACTGATTGCTGATACTGTACCTGCCCTCTTTTTATCTCTGCATTGAGTGACGTCTCAATGGTTTGAAATCAGCCGTGGTGGCAATTTTTACAGCAGGGAAACTGACCGCGGTGCATCTCAGAATGTCCCCTCCATAGACAAGTATTTAAACACAAGGAAGCATAATAACAAGATTAATTTACATTTGTACGGTCCCTCAAGCATTCACTGGTGTTCAGAATTTGTGCGTATCTTTTTGTGTGATACTGATACTCTCTAACCATACTTTCCTACTCATTTCTTTTCAAGAAAAGGAAGCAGCTCATCCAGCAGCAGCTTTGCCCAACATCACTTCTGCAGCTGACGAGTGGTCAGCAGCAAGTCTAGGGCCCTCACCCAGGTGTACCTGCTCCTCGTCACTTTCGATAATGACAAGTTGAGCCTCCATCTCTTCACAGGCAGTCACAGAGTCTGTCCAGTTCTTTAGGGATTTGGAGAAGAAGTAACAGTTTCCTTGGAAGAGTGTCCAATCCCAGGAGCAGGGCCGGCACAGGTGGGCTGTGGGGAGGGGTGGTCAGGCTGAGGCCCTCTTGATGCCCAGATCCCTCAGCCTTACCAACCTTTCAACCTGTAATACTTGGCCCCTTCTTTGAGGCTGTACCTTGGCCAAGCCACCTTCCTCTCCACTTTGACACTTTCCTTCTCCCAGGGAAACCCAGGTGTCTGGCCCTGTGCATTTTGGAACTCAGGACAGAAACCAAGAGAAAGTCTTGACTGAGTGCGTAGTGTATTTGTGGCCCTCTGTGAACACCAGGTGTCTAGCATCACTGATATTCACTGTCCCCATTTCACAGAAGGGAGGCAGAAGATCAGAGAAGGCTGGTGACTCAGGCCACGTGACCTTGCATGTAGTTAACCTTGCACGTGACCCTCTCTGGGGTCATGGACACCCAGTTTCTAGTCCCTTACCTAATCTAACTTTCAGCTGGGATATTTCCTGGTTCATGGTCTCCTGCTGCTGGGTCCTAGCAATCCGGGGTGCTGTGAGAGACAAGAAACCACAATTACTAAACACATACTACATGTCATAAACTGCACTGAGGCCCCCCATAAATTTATGAAAGCCAATGTCCTGTTTAATTTCCCTGAAGACACAGAAGTCTGACTCCCAGAGCAAGCTGAACTGTGAGCATATGGAGCCAGACTCCACACCAAGCTGCTCCCCTCTCTCCTCCCCTGCACCAGAGAAGGGAGGAGTCCTACAAACAAAGCCCTAGGACCTACTAAAAGCAAGGAACTTAAACCCAGCCCAACCCCACTGCCCTGCATCTTGCTTCCCTAAAGGTCCAAAGCCACAGTCTCACCCCCTGGCCCACCCTTACCTGGGACAAGGATGGCCACCAGGAGCCCAGTGAGGAGAATGAGAGAGAGCAGCTGCAGGAGCAGGAGGATTGGACTGTGGCCCAGGCACCCTCTAAGAAGGAGGATCGATGTCTTCTGGTCGCCAGTCCCTGGCTCATGCTGGCCCAGGGAAAGTTTGACCACCATCCACCTCCTCCCTAGGATGTACAATTCCAGTTCCAGCCTCCACTTCATAAAGATCTAAGAGTTCAGAGCCCCAGACTCTACCTCCTCAAGACCTAGGCATCTGGGAAGAGCTCTTCACCTCCTCAAGATGTAGATGTCTGGGAACAGCTCTCCTACCCTACAGTATTTGCAAAGCTGTTGAATCCAGGTTAGCACCATCGTCAGTCATTAACGGAATACGTTGGGTTATAAATCATCAGCTCCTCCTCTGAATGGGCAAGCATCAGTCAGAGACTGGAGATGCTCCGACCTGAACTGGCCCCCCACCCCCATTTCCCAGGCTCCTAGATTCCCAAACCAGCCTCACCCAGAGCTGCCAGCTCCTCTTCCCTCACTTCCTTCCAGATGTCCATGGTCACTGCTGTCTCTCGGTGCTCAGGACAGCTGGGGTAAAGAGCTTCTAGTTTCTGCCCTGGGCCTCCCTCCTGTATCTGTTCTCATTCAGGAACAGAAATGAGGAAATGATCACCACCACAGGAAGAGTCTAGTATGAGGGGCTGAGCCCTACCAGCATGGATTTCATGGCAGACAGGGAAGTTTGGGGGCCATGATAGAAAGAATGGTCACACATGGCCTGGCCACACTCTGGGATCCGTTCATTAATGGGATGCAAGCAGTCTTTTTTGTCTACTCCACTCTCAGTGGGTGGGTAGCGATGCCCTGCTAGCCAGTTTCAGTGTCTAATGTCCAGGGTCACCTGGACTTTCAGCTTTAGTGTGCTGATATTCTCACTTAGGGTGACTCATGCTAACAGTTATGACCCCTTTGTTCTTTTTTAAAATTTATTTTAAAGAGGACAAAACCAAGGAAAATAAAACAGAATAAAATCAATCAAAAAAAGCCAGAGTAAATGATACAGGACTTCAAAACAATATGAAATCAACAATAGTTAGCATAATTACTCTTGTCTTCAAAATAGCTGCCGAAATCAAACAGAACAGGACAGAACAGAATAGAGTCAATAAATACAAAACAATAAATGCAATAAAGGACTTCAAAAGAAGACAACAGTAAATTCCAAACGGCTACTATATGTCTTGCTATCTTTGAAATAGCTGTTTCTGTCATTGGATGTAACAAAATCAAACAAAGCAAAGCAGAACAAAACCCAACCCAATAAAATAATGAAAATGATACCGGACTTCAAAACCGGATAATATGGAATTAAGTATTGCTCCCACCTTCAGTAGGAGATGCCCGCTAGGTGTCACACTGCACACCACTAGCTTCTCAATAGCTTTCATGTCAGCCTGTGTTTCTCCATATCAGTTATGGTGGGTATAGAAGGGATCGAATCTTCTTGCTTGCCAGCCCATGCACTGGAAGGGGCTGGGGGCTGACTGTCCCCCCACTGGTGGCAACCCACGAATTGTGCTGGTTTGCAGGGTGGGTTTGCCTCTTGGTGAATGCTTGTTCTATTCCCCCACAGTCTGCGAATGATGCTGACTCATGGGGAAAGGCTTGGGTCTGGCTGAGTCCCTGCTGGTGGTCCTCTTTGTTATACATTTGGTTTTTTTTCAGTGCTAGAGATTGAACCCAGAGCTTTTGCACTGACTACATTCCTAGCTCTTTTTTGTTGTATTAATATATGTGTGCAGTACATGAAGTTTATATTTATCTTGTAGCATAGGTAGATGAATACACCAAGTTTTTTTCCTTTTTTCTTTCTTTTATATTTTAAAGAGAAAAAATAAAATTTCAAAACATGATAATTAGGGGCAACAATGATATATACATTGCATGTTGTTATCTTCAAATGTCACTCAGAGTACAAGACATTCACAGTTACCTGTCCAAATAATAGTATCACAAACCTTTATCTTGAATGAAAATCAGTAGTATAACTATCTTAATATATATATATATATATATATATATATATATATCAGCTTCTCACACTAGGAAGACAATACAATGTTTACACATGTGTGTCTGATTTATTTCATTTATGAGTATGGTCTTGAGTTGTATCCATTTACCTATAAAAGTCTCAAGCTTATCCTTCTTTATGGCTGAGTAGTACTTCATTGTATAATAATACCACATCCTTTCTATCCATTCCTCATTCAGTGGGCATTTAGGTTGTTTCCAAGATCTGACTATTACAAATTGTGCTGCTATAAACATGGGTGCACATGTATCACTCTGCTATAATATTTTTAATTCTTCCAGGAAGATGCCCAGAAGAATAGATGGGTCAAATGAGACCTCCAACCTAGGTTTTTGAGGAAAATCCACATTCATTCCACAGTGACTGCACCATTCTACATTCCCACCAACAGTGGGGAAGGGTTCCTTTTCCCCCATAGCACCTCCAGCATTTAATATTGCTTGATTTCTTAATAACAGCGATTTGTTCTGGGGAAGGAGGAATGTCAGTGCTATTTTAATTTGCATCTCTCAAATGACCAGTAATGTAGAACATATTTTCATATATTTATTTGCTGTTTGTATTTCATCATCTAAGAAGTGTATATTCATCTCAGATGTCCAGTTTTGGATTGTGTCTTTAAATTTGGGAGGGCTGATTTTTTCAGTTCTTTATATGTTCCTGATAGTAAATCGTTGTCTGAGGAACAGCTAGCAAATGTTTTCTCCCACATTGTGGGTTTTCTCTTTACTCTGTTGGTGGTTTCTCTTGCTGTGCAAAAGCTTTTTATAAGATGAGATCCCAGCTGTTGATTCTTTGTGATAGTTTCTGTGCGATCTGGGTTTTGTTCATATAGTCTTTGCTTACACCAATGTCTTCAAGAGATTTACCTACTCTATCTTCCAGCAGATTTATGGTTTCTGTTTTAATGTTTAGAACTTTGACCCATTCTAAATTTCATTTAGTGCATAGCGAAAGATACAGGTCCAACTTTAATCTTTGGCATGTACAGAGCCAGTTTTTCCAGCACCATTTATTAAAGAAGTTATCTTTCTTCCAATGCATGTGTTTGGCAACTTCACCAAAGATTAGGTGGCTTAGTGTGTCTGAAATTGTTTCTGTATCTTACAATATGTCCCATTGATTCATGGGTCTTTTTTGTCAGTACCATGCTGCTTTTATTATTTTAGCTTTTTGGTATAATTTCAAGTCAGGAATTGTGACATTCCCTCTCTTACCTTTGTTGCCCAAGATTGCCTTTTGTATTTTAGATCTCTTCTGGTTCCCAGTGAATTTTAGAATTGTCTTCTCTAATTCTATGAAATCAGTTATTGGAATTTTCATTGTGATTGCATTGAATCTGTATAACAATTTTGGAAGTGTGGCCATTTTCAGTATATTAGTTCTTCCTACCCAAGATCACAGGATATCTTTCCATTTTCTACTATCTTCTTCAATGTCCCTCTTCAGAGTACTGCAGTTTTCAATTAGAGGACTTTTACACCTTTCATGAGATTGATTGCTAGGTATTTCTTTTTTTGGATGCTATTGTGAAAGGTGTTGTTTTCCTTATTTCTATCTCAGTGAGCTTGTTATTCGTGTATAGGATTGCTACTGATATTTGAGTGTTGATTTTGTATTCAGCTACACTACTGAATTTGACTATTAAACCTACCAGTTTCTTTTTTTTTTTTTTTTTTAATTTTTATTTAAGGAGAAAAGAAAAGAAAAAAAAACAGTGAAGGGTACAAGTTATACAGATTTACAGAAGAAAAAAATGCGCAGTAGGAAATCACTAGTTAATAGATTACATATTGCCATCTTAGAAATAATTGTTCAAGTCACAGAATTAAAGTTTGTAGAGTGGACATTCCAGCAATGATACTGCAAACAGTTCTGTTCAATGATCCATTAGAACTCTGTGATATCATTTTCTGTCTTATACATTTAAACATACATGCAGTTATATAGTTTAGAGCATTTTCTTTTCCTCTCTTTTGTACAGTGACTATTACACATTTTGGGTTTCATTGCTCCCACTGTTCTTATTGCTTTTTTGGAAGAGAGTAAAACCAAATGTGACATAACAGAACAGAATCGGTCAAGTCAAAAGGGTGGATATAATAGATAATATAAAAACATAATACAAGGTGATCAACAATGGTTACCCCAATGCCTCCCGCTATTTCTAATAGAATTGCCTATATCATTAGTTGTAATACTATTGAACAAAACCGTAAAGGATAAAACCGACAAAACCAAAACATTGGAGATATTGTAGGTCTTCAAAAGTAGATAGAAGTCAACGAGAATGGGCGTTATAATGAATCTCATTATCTTCTCAGCTGATGCCTAAACTTTCGAACCTGATACTATTCAGCAAAACAGAATAGAGGAACCTCAGTCAAAAACAAGATGGTGAGAGTAATACAGGGCTTCAAATCGAGAAAATAGAAAGTCGAAGTGGGTTACTATATTATATCCTGCTATATTTTTCCCTTTAATTAAATGGATAACAATAAAAAAGTATATAATGGAGTGGAGATTGAGAAAAAGAAAAAGAGGGCATAACAGCGAAACAGGGCAGATCAAAACATAACCTTTTAAGCAGAATAGTGTTTCACCACCAGATATTTCCGACTTAAAAATAGTTACCATATTGACTCCCTCCCTGAAGTCCTTGAGTACAACTTCATATACTGTAGCATTAAGTATATCAAAACAATGTAAAACCATTTAAGAGAATGACAGCATTATAGAGTATTTGGAATTGACTAACAGAAAATGAACAATGGTCTCTGTATAATCTCCTTGTCTTTAAAAGGTTTTTGCTTCTACTAACGTACATAACAAAATCCAATAAGATACAACCTGGTTAGACCATTGGAGACAGAAGAACAAAAGCTAGATGAGACTTCAAAACAAGATGGTACTGAATCAGCATTACCTATTAAGATGTCATTTTCTCAAAAATAGCTGTTCCTATCATCCAATCTTCTCTGTCTCATTTCTGTTGAGCTCTTTTTCTGTCAGTAGCTGTCAGTTTGTCTTCTTCATTTTGTTCTCTGCTCCATTCGTTGTGGCCTCCCTGCCACTATTTCTGGGTTCTTTGTATTTTTCTTTTTTTAGAATATCCTGCAATACTTTCTGTAGAGTTGAATTGGTGGTTGCAAATTCCCCCAGTTCCTCTTTATCCTGGAAGCACCTCGTTTTTCCATCAATTTCCAGGGACAGTTGTGCAGGATATCTCAATCTTGGCTGGAGATTATTATCTTTCAAAGCTTGAATTATTTCCCCCCATGCTCTTCGTGATTTGATGGTTTGTGAAGAGAAATCTGCTGTAATTCTGATGGGTGTTCCTTTGTAAGTGATCTGTTTCTTGTCTCTTACAGCTTTTAATATTCTGTTCTTGTATTGAATTTCTGGGATTTTTATTATTATATGCCTGGGTGTTTCTCTGTTAGGGTTGTAGGTAGCTGGGGTCCTGTATGCCTCATACAGCTGAGTATCTTTACCTTTTGCTAAATTAGGAAAATTCTCCTGGATTATTTCT